TACTGGGGCAATAGGGAAAGGGAAGGGAGAGCAGGTGTGTGCATGGGAGACCTGCAAAGCAGGTGATCCGAGACTCACTGCATGTTGGTCAGTAGTATATGATATCATAATCTGTGCCTTTATTCACTACCTGCTTTCAAATGACCAGTATTTGCTTAGTCACTCTCTTGTCAATACCTGACACCCACAACTTAAAGGGGGAGAAGGTTTATTTTGGCTCATGTTTACAGTCTATGGTCAGCTGGCTGTCAGGCAGGACAGCATGGTGGAGGGGATAGCAGAGGAGAGCTGCTCACAGCATGGCTGAGCAGGAGCAGGGAGCATCGAGGGAGGAGGAGGTGAGGGAGACCCCTTCTTCTAACTACTACCACCTCCCAACAGCAAGCCAGCTATCAGCTTCCCTAGTCCAGTCAGCTTGCAAAAGCCGCACCTATGCTCATTAGGCCTTGGAGGACATCTAGATATGACCCATAATACTTTTCATAATTACAGAAGCCTGCATGGAAATCCGTTACAGAAAGACTGATCTCCATTGCTTTGGCCCCAGCACTGCCTCTCCAAACCCTCCTGCTAGAATATGACTATTAGTTTTTCTGAAGATGCAGTCCCCAGCCACTTTTCCTTTCCATGGTTTCTCAGGGAACCCATTCCAATGGTTTCAAGTACAGCGTGATGCTCACGGCCGCAGCTTTATGTGGTGGAAATCCCTGGTCGGGTTCACTGGTTCACATTCATTCCTGACGTCTCAGGAGTAATTATGGCCTACAGCTACCATCCAGTCAGACTCAACAGCTCTAAAACTGACTCTCTGCCTTCCTCAGACTGGTTCTGACATCTCCTGGTTCTTTACCCAGAGTTGCACTGTTGAGTCCCACTGATTCTGTGGATTATTCCTTTTAAGACCCTCTGGGCTCTGTTTTCACATTTGAATGATTTCAGTTATAGATAACAAAACCCCAACCCAGCTGGGCTCAATCCTGTTCCATTTCTACCAAAAAAAAAAATCGAGTTTTACTGCCTGCTTTTTTGCCTTTTATGCTGAATCATGACATTCCAACATCTGACCTTATGGGAGGAAACAAAAGCAAGTTTTCATATTGAACAAAAGTCTTAGGCAGAGGTGGAGGAGATGTTTCCTATCCAGGAGGCTCCCCCAGTAAGGGCAACCTTATTGCAATAAGCACTTTGTCCAAAAAATTGAATTTCATGAGGTGTTCAATTGATAACATTCACCAGAATATAGAAGACTTTTGTGACTATTTCTAAGTGTTACAATTTGTTCGAAATGTTACTGTCTTTGGAAGAATAATTTGAACAAAGGAGTCTAGTGAAACTTGTGACTTTAAAAATTGTTAAAAGTTGTAAAAGTAACTTTTGAAGAGCAATTTGTCCTCCAGTTAGTTGTCTCACTTGATATGTGTTGTCCTGCTAATAATATTGAAATTGCCACCTCATGTCTAAAATCCTACATACCTTTGCAAATACCCGAGGTTTCACGATCCATATGGTCTCTGTACCAGAAGCACCAACACAGCTAGTAAAGAAATGGGTGTGGCTGTGTTATCATACAAATTTATTTACGAATACAGAAATCTGGATTATCTATAGACTTCAGGTGTCATAAAATAGTTTTCTGATTTATTTATTTTTGGTACCAGGGATCGAACTCGGAACCTTGCGCTTGTGAAGCAGGCAGTGCAACCACTGAGCTAAATCCCCAGCCCAATAATCTTCTAATTTTTAACCATTTAAAACCACAAAAACCTTTCTTTTCTTGCGTTTGAACCATATGCTCTTTCTAGAACTCTGTTTCCCAGCTAGTCTGTGACTGACTCCCCTTTCACCATCAAGCCTTTACTTTTCTCCTTCTCAATAAGGCTTAACCTGGCTACCCTAAAACTGCAACGCCATCAAATTCCACTGCCTCACTGTCCCCACTCAAGTGATTCTCCCTCCTACCTCAGCCTCCCAAGTAGCTGGGACTACAGGAGTGTGCCACCATGCCTGGCTTCCCTGTGGTACACAATACCTCCGCAAATAGTAAACGATGCACATATTATTACACTGTCTTCCCTTGCCAGATGGTAAACTCCTCGAGAGCAGAAACTGTCGCAGCTAAGTTCACCGATGCCACCAAGCGCCTGGTACACAGTTGATATTTCAAAACTTTGTTGAGTTATTCAACAGAAGGATAATGGCTTATCCTACCCCTGATCAATCATTAGACTGGAGCTCAGGTCATTTGATAATGAAAGTTTGAAGTGTGTAGATTGCCTAGTCTTCAGGAATGGGTTTATCTAAGATTCAGGTTAGCGCAGATCACTCCTTCAAATGCAGGAGGGGAAAGATAAAATAACTTTGTAATTTAAAAATGGAGTCATTGTAATCTACTCTATGTCTTTTCCAGAATTTGCTTTATCTCCTGCTCAGTCTGGTACATTCCTTCAGCAGTCTATGTCTGAATCTTTCTCCAAACTCCCTACCCCTGGGGGTGACCAGGGCTGATGGCCAGGGATAAACTCAAGTAGCTGACAACTTGAAACCTTGAAATAGAAAATAGAAAGACTAAACCAGGATCAAACAACTTAGTTTTTTGCACTAAAAAATCAATTTCAGAAAACAAATGGTAAGAACTGCCTCATGCATTATCTGCAATTGTATGCCAATATTCCTTGTTCTTTTCCCTTTTCTTGTGTAGCTCATTTTTTAAGTTAATATTTAATTAATTGTGAAGCTGGGGTGCACCACAGAATGTGATTATAGCTGCAACTTTGGTCAATTTTTGTTGGAAACAAAACACTCTTGAACAGGTTTTCTTGACTTACTCTTTTGCAGCTTAATCGGAAAATTCTGATTATCTCACAGTGTCTTCTTCGAAAGTGTATTCTGGTGACACAGTACACTTTGTACCTTTCTCAATTCCCTCATCACTTTATAAGTATAGATTGTAAGTATTTGCATATCTATGTTATTATACTTAAACTTCTTGGCACTAGATGACAGCTTATGCATTTTTATATTTGGCTTACCCATAAGAGATTCAATAGCTTCCCTCAGTCTGTTATGAAAGATGTTTCTTAATCAGGCTGCTGCCTTTGTCTATAGTCTCACCAGCTGTCATTCTCTCCCATCCTCCAATCCCCCAAAGTTCTTGCGTCTCTGGGCCAAGTTGTTACTCATTTCTTCCTTTTATACATCCTCATCCCTCAAAATAAATTATTTGGCTTACCCATAAGAGATTCAATAGCTTCCCTCAGTCTGTTATGAAAGATGTTTCTTAATCAGGCTGCTGCCTTTGTCTATAGTCTCACCAGCTGTCATTCTCTCCCATCCTCCAATCCCCCAAAGTTCTTGCGTCTCTGGGCCAAGTTGTTACTCATTTCTTCCTTTTATACATCCTCATCCCTCAAAATAAATGTGCTTTGATTGCGCAGTGAACTCCTCACCATCTTCAAGCCATAGTACGTGTTTATCTTTCTCCATTCCTTTCCCTAATTAGCATTTTAAACTCCGTGAGAGTAGGCACCTGATCAATCTGGCTCATTGCTGCACTTCCTGAAAAGCAGGTAGGGACTGGAACAAAAAGGGTCTTAACTACAATAAGAAGTCTTGACTATCTCCATGAGGCAATGGAAAATGACAGCTATGAACAGACATTTGTTTTAGAAAATCAACAATGCAGCATAGGAGAATGGGTTGAAGAAGGCAAGATTGGCCCTGAGAAATAATTAAAGTAAGCAAAAGTGATGAGGGCCAGATATGAGGTATTAGTGGGGTCAGAACGGTGAGGGACTTGAGAGGTAGGAGAGACGGAATGGCAGGAATTGATAACCTACTAGATGCTGTGGTTGAAAATTTGGGGGAGAAAAGAGTGATCCTCACTTTCTGACTTTGCTCGGTGGCTGGTGATATCTGGAACTGTCACATGGCTATACAGTACAGCTGTATGTTATCTGTGGATCGCTCACAACCCATATAAATGTACAGCACTTCAAGGACTTTGCTTTTCAGCCTTTTATTAGCAGTATTAGAAGAGTGCCTAATTTTGTAGGAACAAAGAATGAATGAATGAAAACACTCAAAACACTAAACAGTAATTCTATCGTCCAATGTGAGACATAGCCTAGCAGCAGAAAGCCTACAGATACTATCGTCCGCATCATGCGTCAAGAATCACGGTAGGAAGAAGCTGGTCTCCACTTGCTCTTTGCCTATTGTTCAACTAGGAAGCTGACAATAAAGTTTATTTGAGCGTCGACGTGCTCCGACGTGGCCCCGCCTCTCCAGACCGAGCTGCGATTGGTGGAGATTTGCCGGCCGTCGGCATTCTTAAACTGCGATTGGTGAAGGCCGCCGTCACTCCGGAGCGTCCCCGGCGTCGGCCCGCCCTTTCGCCGCGTCGCTGGTGCTAGAGCAGCCTGCTCCACCTCGCTTCTGCTCTCCCGGCGGAGGCCCGGGAGACCCAAGCGAGAAGCGGGGGCCATGTTCCGACGCAAGCTGACGGCTCTTGACTACCA